ATCATAATACAAATAACTGCACATAAATGACTTGAAGATAACAATTACATTAAGAATGTGAACAAAAGTTTTTAAAAACGGTTCATCATATTTATGTTTAATTATTTATTGCGCTATCATTGTTTCTTAATTTTACAAATATAAACAAGTTTTCAGAAACAAAATCAGATTTTAATAAAATAAAAGTTCAATTTTAATTAATGAGAGCTGTACTTGATATACAGAAGGAATGTTTTTAATATTCGAGATTGTGGAAATTATTTTGATTAATTGATAGATGGTGCTAGCGTTGCATGTTAAACGCGATGTGTCTTCTGAATTTCCATAGACTTTCCACCGGCAGCTCGACAGATGGATGTTTAGATGCTTTGCACACTTTAGGAACACTTCGGTTCCTAATTAAAAGATTTTGATTGTGAAAGCATATAGATTTGTTTTATAACTGAACCACCATGTTTTAATTAATGATCTGTAAATATTGTACATATTAAAAGTTACATTTTAAAAGCGATTGATGTCGATTTATAGCAATCTTAGAATATTTTGAAACAGCTGGTGCATCGGTCAGGAATTGGATTTAGCACACTGCAAATGTGCGAAGACAGCAAAAGGTAAGATTAAATTTTCTATTCTGTAATGCAACAATGGTGGAAAAGTCTGTTGGTAAATTAAAATCGAAAAGGAAAGTTATCAGGACCACCGTGTCCAAGATTCTAAAAAAAATCAAGATGAAGAGTTGAATAAAGAAGAAATTGATACAGGTACATTAGAAGAAAGTTTAGACCAATTAATCACGAAATCGAAAGCTCCGAGTGAGTTAGATGCTCAGATAGAGTGTGACTTGAAATCAGAGGCGGAAGAGTTTGAAACAAAAATTCTATCTTCCATCAAATACGAAGAGAAAATTCAGTTATGGCAATTCAGAGCAAATAAGAAATTGAAAGAATTAAATAAAGTAACAAATTTGGATAATGAAAACTCTCTTAACAAAACTAATTCTAAAGTCAAAAGCGATAAATGTACACGTCTGCCAAAATTAACCATCACTAAATTCTATGGAGATTATACCCAGTGGACAAGTTTTTGGAACTCTTTCAAAGTAGCAATCCACAATAATGAATCTTTAACAAATATATAAAAATTTAATTATTTAAAATCGTACTTATGCGGCAACGCTGCAAGCTCGATAGAAGGTTTTTGCATTTCGGAACTAAATTACGATGAAGTTATTAAAATACTTAAAAACAGGTTTGGCAGGAAAGATATAATTATAAACTGACACATGCAAAAGTTCCTGAATCTTACCCCAGTAACCAAATCCAGTGACACTTTAAAACTTCACAAATTTTGTCACACTATAGAAACTCAAATGCACAGCTTGAAATCATTAAAGTCACACCGGATAAATACAGTTATATGTTGATCCCAGTTATTATGAAAACACTGCCATCTGATATAACTTTAGAATTCCATCGTAAAACGGAATCATCATCTTTTTTTAATGTTGATGAATTATTGCAGTTTGTTCACTCAACTGGAAAGTCACGAGAGAAGCCATCTTTTGCTCTCCACTCATAAATCAGAAAGCACTGTGAATCATTGACATTGATGAGAAGAGAAATTTATTACGCAGGCAAGCAAGATGTTTCCTTTGTCTTAAATTAAATCACTGCATGAAGCAATGTAGAAGTGATCTCGTCTGCTCCAATTGCAAAGGTCGACATAACCGTTCAATATGCTTTCGTGCTGAGAAAGAACAAAATGAAAAAATAAAAGTATAGAAGATTCGCATGTTCTTTCAGCATTCTCATGGAGTGAAATTAAAACTATTTTGCTTTAAATCTGTTGCGTAACACTTAGAACAAATACGCAGTCAGTTTTAATTAGAGCTCTACTGGATTCCCGTAGTATGTGTTCCTTCCTGAGAAAAGAAATCACGGAAAAATTTAAGCTTCCTATTATACGAACAGAGACTCTTTCAGTATTTGCGTTTGGAAATAAAACACCCATTAGAAAAACATTTGATGTTGTCAAGATAAAATTACAGAACAATGAAACACCGAATTTGAAAACCGAAATTGAAGCTTTCGTGACTGAACAAATTTCAAGTTTTGATTTACCACCTCCTAATCTGGATAGACACATTTTAGGCAAACAGTTAGAAGGTTTACAACTCGCAGACTCTTGGGATTGCAAAGAAAAAATTTCTCTTTTGATAGGAGCTGATTATTATTATGATGTAGTAACTGGGAAACTTAAGTGTTTAAACAAACGTTTAGTAGCTGCTGAAACGTTATTCGGTTGGTCTCTGCTAGGTTACACTAAAGGTACAACACACACGTCCACAACCTTTAATATTGTAGTTGAGGAAGATATAATATCTGGTCAGATAAAGAAATTTTGGGAGCTTGAAAGTTTAGGTATAAAACCTGAAAATAAAGCATTTCACCCATTAGACAATACTATAATGGAAAAATTCGAATCGAAAATTTTATACAAAAATTCTCGTTGGAAGGTTAGGCTGCCATGGAAGCAAAAATAGCAGTCCGTTTTTACTGGCTGCAACCATTAAACACCATTTGAAACAATATGAGAATACTATAATTTAAACAATTAGACAATACTATAATGGAAAAATTCGAATCAAAAATTTTATACAAAAATTCTCGTTAGAAGGTTAGGCTGCCATGGAAGTCTGATTGAAAATAAACATGATAATAAAGCAATTGTGCTGAAACGATTTGAGAAACTTATAAAGCGATTTCAGAATAACTCCAAACTTTTTCTATTCGGACCAAACAGTTCTACAAGATTATTTACAACAAAACATCATTGAACTGTTGATAGTGAATCTCAAATCACATTTTATTTGCCTCACAGAGAAATCGTTCATAGTGATCGTAACTACTAGTAAACAACGTATCGATATTCCACGCGATCTTCACATGGACCTGGTGAAATTTCGTTGAATGACTGCTTGCATATTGGTCCAAATTTGTATCCTGACATTTTTGAACTTCTATTAGCCTTCAGGCTTCATCCTGTAGCATTTACAAGTGACATAAAGCAGGCTTTTCTTCAGATAGAAGTAGATGAGAAGGACAGAGATGTAACGCGTTTTCTGTTTACTAAAAACCCATTCGATGATCCACAAAATTTTATAACTTATCGGTTCCTATTTAAAAGATTTTGATTTTTGATTGTGAAAGCATATAGATTTGTTTTATAACTAAATCACCATGTTTTAATTAATGATCTGTAAATATTGTACATATTAAAAGTTACATTTTAAAAGTGATTGATGTCGATTTATAGCAATCTTAGAATATTTTGAAACAGAGATAAAGCTGTTTAATTTATTTTTTAAATCATTTAAAAATCTTCAATGTGTTTCTTGTTCTCTATTCTGGTCTTGCGTTCTGTATTTTTTTAAAATTATTTTCTTTTGGTTTACTTTTTTACACTGCACTTCTTGCAAGAAAATTTATATACTAAAAAGATATTATTGATTTTTAAAATATATTAAATAATTATACTTTTCCCTTATTTTTAGTTTATTTTCTTTACTACTTTCCACTTGACAAAATTTTATATCAACAAATAATTAATTATCAATTTTATTATTCTAATAAATGGGATCTTGATTGCACTGATTAACTGCAACAATAGATTGACTCTAAATTTTTAGATTAAAATGTACCATAGTTGCCATAGTCCATAGTCCTTTGCTCCATGTACGATAGTTGTGCTTTCTTTCTATTTCATTTAGCTATAACATTTTATGCAATAAAAATAATTCATCATTCCAGATCTATATATTTTGAAGAGTTTAGGTTACTCGGATTAAAGCAATGCACACAAGGGCTATCTACCTAGCAGAAGGGATGCTTTTGAAGAGGATACATTAAGAGAAACTGGCTTGTGTCAGGAAAAACCTGGAAAACACCCATTCAGCCAGCCCCTAGAATTTGAATCCAATACGAACTATCAATGTTCAGCAATCCTAATCGTTGGCCACTCGCTGGACTTAACTCATACAGAAAAATTCTGCAGTGTATATGATTTCTAACAGGAGTTCCTAAAAGAAGAACTATGCAGATGTCAGTTATTATCATCAATACTCTTTTTTCACTGTCATAGTACGATGCTACATGTACGGCCTCACCCATGTCTTGGGCTGGGAATAAAAACTTTTAAAAAAAATCTTTTTGGATGACTTAATTTACTTATTACTCGCAAAGGTCTTTTAATAAAATCTGAAAGGATGTAAGAGAAAAAAGTGTTGGGATAGTATAATTTTCAGTTAGTAGTTTTCACAAAAATTATATTGACTATTAGAATATAAGTTTCTAATGTGTTATTTTCGATTAATATCCTTTTCTATCAATCTTTTTTCTATTTCTGTGCTAGAATGTACATTTCTAGCCCATGCGATATTCAAATAAGTCAGAAAGTAGAGAATATTTTAAGGAAGGTTTTGGAAGGTAAAATCAAAGTATGTTCTGCCTACCTGAAGGCCAAGTTGTTAACTTTGTATCTCTTCATTAGTATTCTGTGATGTTTCTGCATAGTTATGTAGAAACATCACAGAATATTATGTAGAAATATTATGTATAAACATCACAGAATAGTTATGTAGAAACATCACGCTTGTTTACATCGACTTTGGTCAGAGCCAGCTTGTGCACTAGCTATACTGTGAAGCCATTACGAGAAACTTAATTTCATTAGTTTTAGTTCAAGCATTGTCTTTGATTTAAGCCACAACTATTGGCTTCTGTAAGCACAAGTTGGTGCCAACTATTTTAGATTTTTAGAACTTTATTTATGCTAAATAAAGGGTTCTTTACACTCTTTCTCTGTCTGTGTGGTACTTAACAAGACATAGTGATAACTCACCAATTGTCTTTTAGAGTTTTGGTCTAAATTTTATGCTACTTAAGAAGACCAGAGTCTATATGACCAACTTAAGCCTATACTATTTAGAACTGTTACATATCTTCAACCCTATGAAAACAAAAGCATTTATTACTTCCTTTTATTTGCTAATTAAGCTTGGAAAACGGCATGAATTTCCAAGGGTGAATGAATGACTTAAAAATGTAGGCAAAAAGGAAAATCGGTCCGAGGAATTTTCTGAATTTAGGAGAAAGCTGGAAATTACCAACAAATCAAAAATTTCTAAATCACACACACACATGGGGATACATGAGAGGAAATCTATGTGAGCAAATACAGTAAATACAAAAATAAAAGATAAATACATTATTTTTGAAATACTCCTTAAAATTAATAATAAAATTTCAAGCAAAATATTATTTCACCCTTTAATTTTTTAAAAATATGTTAAAATAAAGATTACACAACAGTGCAATCTTATATGTATGTGGCAATTATTGAAATATGAGGCAAAAATATAAAAAAATTGGGGGAATACACGAAAGGAGAACTATGTGAGTAAATATAATAGAGTTTTTTTGGAAGTTAAATACAACACATTTTTGCTATTTTTAAAAATACTCTTTAACTTAACAAAATTTCAAGTGAAAGATTTAGTTCATCCTTTAATTTTCTAAAACACATTGAAACAAAGGCTATAAAACAGTGAAGCCTTGTATGTCTGTGGCATGTGTATGTAAGTTACAGTATTTTCCCTGTAGTGTCTTTATTTAACCTATGTTTTGAAGAAATATAAATTTTAATTTTTTCAACAGTACATCAAAAAATAAAGAAAAAACAGAAAAAGAAAAATGCAAGTATATGCTTGCTGGCAACAAATAAAATAAACTATAATTTTAGAGAAAGTCTATTAATGTAATTTAATGAATTATTTTTTTAAAAAAGAAATAAACACAAATATGTAAATAACAAAAGTATTTACAAAATGTAGTAATGTACAGTATGAATCAATAATCTTCTTCTTCATCAAATGATAAAAGACTGCTATTCTTCACCTTTTGGTTTTTCTCTCTCTGAGTATTAATTCTCTTATTTAAATCTTCCCTTTTCTTTGAAGAAAAGTCCAAAGAATTTTTTTCTTCTTTTTTAACAGGCTTTGAAAACATTATCCTTTTATTTTCATCAACTAAATAGGGGAAAAAAAGGAGAGAAAGGAGGTTTATGCATGAAAATTAAAGAAATGTTATTTAAGTTAATTGTATGTAATTAATTTCAAGACAATAGGAAAAATAAGAAAACAGGAAAAAACATAATCTGAAAACTTATCATTATCTATCAGCCAGAAGAGTTCACCATTTAAATTGTTAACAATTAAGCTATTTAACAAGTCAAAACATTAAAAAGAAATTGCAGCCTGATCTTGGCATGTAGACCTTACCCAATTTCAGGTTAAACAGGGCCCCACTTAACAATTTTAAGCTGGGAAAAAGTTGACCTACTAGTTTATGAATTAATCCATCACAGATATATATAGAATATATAAGTATAGAACAGAAAATCTTCTGTTTAGTTTAAACTACTGTAAATAGAAAAAGAAAGCAGGAAAACATCACTTGCTACAATATTATTTCATTGTACATCAATACTATGAGGAAATTTATAGTCTTATTTTTAATACAGAAAAGACTTCATTATTCAAGATGTAGCTGTGCATTTATTCCACTTGATTGTTTGCACGAGAGACTTGCAATAAATATTTCCAAATTTTCTCAAAATTCTGTTCTATTTTGTAAGGACTTAAAATCCACAATCTAAAAGCAATAAAAAGACACAGAATTAAAGGCAGAAAAAAAGTTTTCTTCCATGCTTTTCCAAGTTTTCTTCCATGTATTTAAAAATCCTTCTCCTAAGTTACTGGGGAGGGGGAAAGCGCCAAGATTTCAGTCGCTTTAAAGCTGCTATATATGCCTAATATCGAAAGGATTTAATGTTAAAATATGCGAAAAAATATGTTTTTCATGGATGCAAAATAATGAATTATCTTTTTTTTTTTGGGGGGGGGGGGTCTAATAATATTTTTCCAAAATCTAAGTCCCAAGATTTTTCTTCACAAATAAAGTTATTCTATCTCCTATGAAACAGAATAGTTAACAAGTCTGGGAATTGTGCATTTTTTCAATGCAGCTACTCTGGTCTTAGCTTGAAAAGAAGTTGCATTTTCTCCTCCAGTGTATGACTTCTTTGAGGCATCAGCAAAAATGCGCAGGCTGTACAATAGAGCACTCTATCATATGTTATCTTTCTAGGAATCTTCACCAAGGACAATAAAGGAACATTGTTCACCCATTATAAAAGTCTATCTTTAATATCAGCTGGAAGTTCAACTTCCCAACAAAGTTTTTTTTTTTTTTTTTTTTCTGAAATCTTTTATAATTTTTGCAGCTAATTCTTATTGGATTGAACACCTTTCATACGACAGATAACAAGTTGTGTTTGGTCATTGGCAGCTCACCTAATCCTAAATTTTGAACATCATAATATAGATGATCTTAAAACACAATAACACGCTGAACAAATACTAATTCAGAAGTCAAACACAAAAATCAGCGTTATATATTTACAAAATTTTGTAAATATAACGCTGATTTTTGTTGTTTGACTTCTGAATATAGATGATCTTGTTTATCTCATAACAGACCTATTACGTTTCAACATTCTGATTTGTTATAAATCCCTAGCTTCTGCTTCCTGCCATCCTCTTTAAATCCAAATGTGAATCTGCCTTGATCTCGGTTTCCTGTTAAATAAAAAAAATTCCATCTTCTTCAGAAGCTATCAGTCACACAATTGTCAACATAAAATGAAGCTTTAAACTTCTCAGTGATACTTTTGAGTAGTGACTGATACTGCTTCAGATGTGAGTCAATCACAATCACAAAAAGAAAAGGATTGCAGTTTAATCTGAATACCACATGGTAGTCATAAAACTCTTTTATATCTGACTGTTCTAACATCCTTCCACCAGAGAAATCTTAGAAAATTTATGTCATTTTGAATCCTGGAAATTTGCAAGAACACTTTTCTGATATCTGAAACAATGCCTATCCTTTTCTCTCTACACTTAAGCAATATTGCTGGCAGCAACTCTAGAAGATTAAGCCCTTTTGCTAAACAGTCATGAAAGAAAAATGTTTCCTTTTTTCATGATGCATCAATACTGGTCAACATCATGGTAGTGCATCTTCCCTTCTATTTCATTACCCCAAACTCAATTTTATTTGAAAACTGGTTGACTTCACATTAGTGCATCTTCCCTTCTGTTTCATCACCCCGAACTCAATCTTCAATCACTCCTGATTATAACCAATCTTCAATTACTGCATTATAGTCTTCAAATCTTTCTTCTAATTTTTTTGTGCTTGAGAGCAATCTCTTTTCAGCAGTGTCTCTACTGACCAGTAAATTGTCCTGATCATTGACCCTGGCAAAATAAATTAATACTTACCATCATCAGTTTCTCCTATGAAAGTGATCCTATACAGCTACTTCCAGTTCCAAACTAGACTTGCATTTACTAGGATCAGTTATGCCTAAAGCATCTGATTTCCACAAATTCTCCAAATTATTACTGTGGATTACTATACAGGTTATTAATGATGAAGTACTTTGAGATCAAATGCAATTGTTATCTTCCTCATAACAGCTCAGCCATGTGGTGTGTGTACCACAATGAGACCAGAAGATAAGTGGAATACATTCCTATAGGTAGTGAGCTTTTTCCTACATCAGTAAGACTGATGCCTTTACTCTGAAATTCAACCACCCAAGTTCCTTCTTGAACACTAGGAATATACCCACAAATAACTTGCTGGCCTAAAACCTGGGTTTCACAAGAGTAATTCTTCTTTAAATTACAAATAATTTGTAGAATTGGTGTTGATTTCTAGAGCTAGTACCACCAAACACATATTTTAATTTTCACTTTGTTGAGCATTCATCCCCATCTGGTTCATGGTAGATTTAACCCTTTGATGGTTATGAACAAGTTCAGCTCGCAATCGAATCGTGCTTCATAATGCGTGCAAATGATTTCCGCTCGGGAGCAAGATTTCGACCGAAATGGTTAGAAACGAGCACTACTAGCGTATTGAAATTTTCTGCTGATGAGCTGAGCTCGTTCGCCATTATTATTTTGAATTGATTATGTTATAAAGGAATCCTAGTCGCGAAACTTAGTTAGTTTTTACTGTCTACAGATGGCAGTATGGGTTTCATGAATTTCTTTTCGTAATGAACGGGAAATTTTTTTTTTTACCTTGTTCTTTTATGAGTATTTTGGCACGTTTTTAGGGTGTTTGAGAAGAAAGTGGCTCAAAAGCGAAAGTTAGATAATTATGATTGTGATACAGAAAGCTTAAAATGTTTTGAGTCTGATGAAGACTTTGTTCACAGTATATCAAGCTCAGAAGATGATTCAAGCGATGAGGAAGATTTTTTGTGTGTTCGACAGTGGTGTAAAACTGATTCAAGTTCTCACGCTCCTAGCCAATTTAGTTTTACTGGTGATGTGGGCATGAAAGCTTGCTTGACAAATGTTTCTAATCCACTAGAGTACTTCGAGCTGTTTTTAGGTAATTACTGTATTTAAATGCTTCATAAAGTTTTACATTAGTTGTATTTATTTAGTCCTTTCAATTTAATATTTGTCTTATATTTATAATTAACTATTATTATTTATATAATTGAGTATAATCATTTAAAATTTACTATTTAATAATTAACATTTACTAATTATTTTAAAGTATGTAAAAACTGTTATTTATGTACTACAAATACTTTAAGAAATTTTTAAAACGCGTGAAGCGAGCTATCTACAGCATTGCCAGAAAAGGGCGGCATTTTCGGAAGAATGGCAGGAAAACAGCTGACACTTTCGACTATTGTTTACTCGTAATACTGCGTGAATTAAGTAAATGAAAACTGCTCATTTCCCTAACTGTCAAAGGGTTAAGAATACATGACCGTTGTGATGCTATATCAAATAAAGCTCTTAGAGTTCTCCTCTTTCCATCTGCTTCAATGGACACAAGCAGAGTTGTAAAACTTGTGTTTAGTTTTGGTTAGACATCACATTTCCATCAGCAAAACGAGTCTCTAAAGTGATCTTCTTATAAACATTAGACTACTTAGGATATAACATAGTCCAGTGCTTCTTTTCAAAAATTATACATTGAATATCAGCCTTAGTTTTTCAAACAACACCCAATTCTCAAACATACAAAACAGGTTTCTTCCTCAAAAGAAATTTTATGGCCTTTGAGGTGCATCAAATAATAAAATTGTTTAACAGATTTTTCTTCCTGAACAAAATAATATGTTACAATCTATACAGTCAAAAGTCGTTAATCTGGACCTCAAAGCTACAAACTTTCTGCGCATGCGTGAATGCATTATACGTTCACGCATGCGCGTAATATCTTTATGCATGTGCGCATAATACGTTTATGCATGCGTGTTTAATGTATAACGGATGGTATAAGCTAAGCTAAAAGTATCTAATTATCTATTTCAGTTCATATTGCAGATTGCGTTGTTCCTTAATCTTCGAATTGGATCCGGCTTATTATTTTTTGCAGACTGTTACAGCAATTTTATAAAAGTAAGCTTGAACTTTCGATTAAGTCAAATAGAATTTCCGATATATATATTTACTAATATGTAAAGGCTCTACAAAGTATGTTTCAATGTCCATCAAACAAAAACTGGAATTGCTGCAAAAAAATTGATAAAGGCATATCCTTTGTTTTTCTAACCATTCCGAAATCTGTTTATCAATTTCACGCTGCTCTGCGGGGAGGGGGGACATCGCACTATCCTTATCTTCAGGACAGATGTTTTTATTTTATTCGGCTTATAATTCCTTACTAAATGAAGTATTTCATATCGATGTACTCCCTCTTTGATATGATTTAAATCAAATTCCTCGACATTATAAATATCCCGACTACACATCAAATAGTTTTCTGGTTGCAATTTTCTAATTTCGACTAAGCGTAATGTATGTTTTATGCATGCGCGCGTTGAAAGAAATGTTTAATAAAGTAAACAAATAAATATTAAGCTTTTTTTTTTGTAAATTTTGATACTCTTTAGATCATAATTGCTCTTTATTTCATAAATTACGGT